AGACACCAACAAGAGGACGCAAGAATTGTATGCATGGGCTAAGCAGTCTACTATCTGACAGGGATACTATTAAGAGAGGTTATGATCCTTCATGAAAAATAATTTAGCTCAACATCACTTAGACTTCAATTCTTGATCTAAACAAGTCATTAGGAGAGATAATCTAATGACTTGTTTACATCAAAAATTGATTATTTTCCAGTTCCATCCATATAAACATAAAAGAGGTAAAGTCTTCATTTTTTTGAAAATATTTTTCTTAGTAAAGTATCTCAGGAATGGAAAATAAAATATCCAATGTACTCAGTACTACTGTGAAACCAATTTATAATCACTCACACTTGCACATGAAAAATGAAACTCACCTATAGCCTAGGATGGAGGAGGGAAGAGGAGGGAGAGGGAAAAGGAGGGGGGTGGGTCATTAGAAGGAGGGTTAGTAGGGGGACCACACCCATGGAGCATATTGCAAGTACAAGCTGGATCTATCAGGTGTAGAGCATAAATGTCTTAATCCTGTAACAGGGTAAAAGTGGTGAAGGCTATGTTGTTTAATAGGATGTGAACTTTCCAATTTGTACAAATAATCATCACATTGAATCCTATAATGGCATAAATGTATTTATGATCTATGTACGAAAGACTTAATTAAAAAAAATTGCTTATTATCTCCTACTACCTTTCATTGTTGCAGTAATCTATCCAACCTTAGATCATTATTCAACATTTTTATACCCTGTTCTGTCATTTTTTTCACCTCTTCTCCAATAATGATCTTGTCTCCATGCTTCCTAAGCTAATCACTCCCATGGTCATTTGTTAGATATCGTCATTATCAGTAACTCCGTATCCCTCTATGACCTCAATATTATACATTTCTACAACCATCACTCTCTGCCTTTCTACCTCGTACCTGCAATCATTTGATCCTGCTGAGATCTCTGTATCATTTTTTACCACTTTTTCAGTCACTCCCTAATTAACTATATTGACTTAACTGTATGGATCCATGGTCCATCATTATCCTCACTTTCTTTCCCTTCTATTGTTTTGTTATACTTAGCAATACTACCATTCTGGTTAAATCTAACTAAGTTACCTCTACGTCTACCTCAGTGCAGCTAAAAACATCCATCAAAGCAGACTGAACTGACTTTAAATGCATGACCACAATCCTCAACAGGCCCTAAGGCTATGTGGCAATCCCACTGTTCACCCTTTCTCTCTCCTAGATAACACTTTCACACTTCCTCTTTTAAAAAAAAAAAAAAAACTCCAATATCTCTTCTTCCATCTTTATGATCAGCTATGACCTTTCACTGAGAATAAAAGTAACCAGCACAGATATATACCACTGTAATTATCCACTTGCTATGGTTTGATTAGTGGTACAAATAATTTTGATTTAGGGATCACTTTTATAATGCTAACTTAAAACTTCTAAGAAAGTTCCAGATAGGGGCAATGAAGGAGCTCATGGAATTTCATCCCAATATATGACTCATTGGTATAAAGAGTGTTTGAATTAAAGGCCCTCACAAATCAACAGGTGTTAGAAGGGGCTTTTCTTCTATCATATAAGCAAGATAGACCGGTTAAGAATTATCTTTCTGGCTCGGCGCCTATAGCTCAACTGGCTAAGGCGCCAGCCACGTACACCTAAGGTGGCGGGTTCGAATCCCTAGCCCGGACCCGCCAAAACAACAATGACGGCTGCAACCAAAAAATAGCCGGGCGTTGTGGCGGGCGCCTGTGGTCCCAGCTACTTGGGAGGCGGAGGCAGGAGACTCGCTTGAGCCCAGGAGTTGGAGGTTGCTGTGAGCTGTAATGCCACAGCACTCTACCCAGGGGGACAGCTTGAGGCTCTGTCTCAAAAAAAAAAAAAAAAAAAAAAAATTATCTTTCTGTCCTCTCTCTATTATCTCAATATCTATTTCAGGAAAGAAAATTAAGAATGCAAGCAGACCTGGTCCAGGTCATTTTAAAAATAAAATCTGCCTCTCAGGTTAATTTAATTTCTAAAGAGAACTATTTACAAGTCAATCTATTTCGCCCATCCATTCATTCTCCCAATAGATATATTCATCCTCTCTAGTAATTGTTTGTTGCCTCTCAACAGAATTACCTGTATTCCTCATCTCCTCCTCCTCTCTAAAATGGGGGCATATAAAGTTTTGGACCCCATTGAAATATTAGGTAATCACTCTGTGATTCTTCTGAAGCACATGGGAAATAAATTTGTAATCTCTTTCTCTTATTAATCTGCCCTACTGTGAGTTGATCTTTCAATGAAACTTCTAGGGGCAAAGGAGAAGTTTTCCCTTCTCCTCCAGATAGTTGACATTTTTTTAAAATAATTTTTAAAAGTACACTTTAAAATACTGAATGAAAGCAGAATGCAGTGTTTTTCAGCCTTCTTTATCACAATGGCACACTTGAACCTATAGTTAAACTTCTACAACTTAAATTACGTTGATCAAAAAAAAAAAGAGTAAAACAAAGAATATGCTTATTGTGCTTTGAACTTCTTTCAAAATAATTTGATTAATAATCTTTAAAAATTTTACAGCACACCTAACATCCTCTCATGGCATATTATTATGCCATGGCACACCAGTTGAAAATTACTGGTATAATGTAGTAAGTACCTGAACCAATAATATAGTAATTTATTACCAAGTATTATACAAGGTGGACATAAAGTTTGTGTGCAATTTAAATAGTAAACTATTGCACTTTATCCCACCCTGTATATTGTACATAATTTTATTGCTGTATTTTTATATGATTTGTAGTGCAACAGGCTTACACCAGCATTACCACAAACACATGGGCAGTATGTTATAGTACAGTGTTTTTTGGTGGGGTTTTTTTGGGTAGTATCTAAGTAGTTTATTTTTTTTATTGAATGGTAACTATATATATTAATGCAATTCTGGGGTACATAGTAGAGTGTTTTGAAGGCTGTGACATCATTAGGTGATAGGAATGTTTCAGCATTATAATCTTAAAGGATCATTATCATATCTGGTTTTTTGTTGACTGAAATGTTACTGTATGACTCATAAATGAATTCTGCATTGAAGACATATCTGTACTCCCATATTTATTGCTACCTTGTTCATCATAGCCAAGACATGGAATCAACCTAAGTGTTCATCAGCAGATAAATGAATAAGAAAATGTGATGTATACACATACATAGTGGAATATTATTTAGCCTTCAAAAAAGGAAATCCTGTCATTTGTGACAAGGTGGATGAAACTAAAGGACCTTGTATTAAGTGAAATGAGACAAGCACAAAAAGACAAATACTGCATGGTCCCATTATTATTATTTGAAATAATAATGATTTGGGATAGAATTAATTATTATTGATGGATTAGAATACACTGGATATATTCTTGAGCTACCCTCCTTTTGCCTGTAGTAACATTCATTAAATGGATGGCTAAAATTCATTTCATAATCTGGAAACTTGGAGCAGATTTTACCCTTTGTGCGAAACTAATCAACCCAGATGGATATTGAATGTACTGCATTCAGCAACTCTACTATCTTCTATAAGTTGAGCTATTCAGGACAAATGCGTGGTAAGATATGAAATAGTCAAAAAAAATTGCCTTTGCAGAATACTATTTGCAGACACATTTCCTCATGCATAAAAGTGGACAATGTGTCTATGTAATCTACAGTTTTCACTGAAAATGGAGAAATAACTGTATAAAAAATAACCATACTACCAAATCCTTCATTACTTGGAGATATCTTTGTTTTATACAGGACAGCTTTCTTTTCTTTTGGCTTCTTTGTTTTTGTAAGATAGATACTTTTAGGTTAACCAGAGCTATTTGACAGCATGTTTACAGAGATGGACATATGTTTTTGTTGAAGCACCTGCCATTGATTTTGCACATTATGCAGTCTGCTACATTTCCCAACTTTTTATATTCTGTACTGTTGCATGCTTACTTCAAATTATATTTCATTCTTTCCTTGCACATTTCTTCTGCCTATGTGACTGCTTTACTTAGGATCACTTCAAGCAAATACATTTGTATTTTTAATGTTACAGCTTTTACATCATTGGGTTTTTCAGGGTCTGTGGAATTGCTACGCTCCAGAGCTTCAATAGTATGGCACTTACTGTTGAGCCACCATGCACAGATTATCCACTATGCAGAATTATAACTTCAGTTAGTGTAGACTTTCTTCACTCTTACTGAATTTTCTTTGAGATATTTCATAGTATTTATAAAATATCTAAAAATGATAACATTAATGCTAGTATTCATATTCATGTGAGAAATAATTGAGTTTAGGTTATCTTCTTAAACTCATATATTATTATATTTTGACAAAGGAAGTGAATAAACAGTAAATTTAATAGAGATTATACTTGCTTCTCTTCTTATGTCTTAAAATAGCAAGTTTTAAAATTACTATTATTCTAGCAGTTTGTTCTAAGAAAATTGAAACTTTGATGAAAATGAGCTCAGATGATTGGGACATTGATTCAGGTGTACTTGGCATCACAGGTCATTAAGTATGTGTTAATTATGTATGATTACTCCTGAAAAGCTATAGTGGCTTCATCTTTTAGGTTGCTTCATTAAATCATTAATTTTCTCGGAGGTAACTAAGCCTGACATAATTAAGTCATCTCAGTCTCCACAGATTTGTATCCTCCCATAATGTCAAGAACACCAAGCAAGTTAATATAAAGCATTGTAACTTATTCCTTGTATGTATTGACTTTATGTTTTAGGTGTATTTAATACTATTTGACACATTTTATTTTATATTTAAAGTCACAAACCAAGGGTGAGGGAGGGGGCAGTCAGGGACTTACAAAAACAAACTGATCTTGACCCCTCCATTGGTATGTAACTGTCACGTACTCTACTAAATGTATACCTTTTAATTATTGACTTCATATTTTAGTGTACTTCCTATATAATAAACCCATTTATATATTTTAACTATTTCTTACCAACAGTTCTTTGACCCCTGGTTACATAAAGCTGCTTCAGTTTATCCAGAACATCATTTATGAGGAAGGATTTGATGGATCCAATCCCCAGGTATTGAGTACCTGCAAAGCCTTTTATAATCACATATATGTTTTTTTCAAATTCTCTGGGGGTGGGAACACAGAAGATCTTAGAATAATCAACAGTAAACAAATAGTTTTCAAGCATAGATCACAGGCTGTTGTAGATTGTATTTAGAATTTTAGCTGAGTTCTCGGTAAAGACACATAAAGATGTACACTTGCATTGTTAATATTAAATATTTTTAAATATGTATATGCAGCATCTGGGATGAATAAGTAACTACATTTTGAAAATTACTTTTAAATTTGAAAGCCTGGTACTTTTTTTATCTAAATTTTCTATTTCTCTCATTCAGGCCTTAATTTCAAATTACCTTATCAGTAAGAATTATCTTAAGATTTTACTCTTATTACATTATGCTTTGAGTTGTTTCACTGAATAAAAGATTCATTTTAATTTGCTATAATAAAATATTTTATAACAACTATTTCTCTGTAACTCTAATTTTAAGAACTTCCTCCAAGTTCCAACTAATAAAGATGTTCTGGTTAGTTAAACTTAAACAAAATGAGGAAAATTTTATTTCTAGGTAACATGCCTTTCAAAATTCTTCCACAGTGATTTTAGTTGCTTTTGCTGCTAAAAGATTTGCATTACATTTTTATTATTTTAGCAGAAGTATTTTCAGAACCCTATTATTTTTATTGAAAAAGACAAGTGAAAGTCTTATCTTCGATCTTATTAGCACATCTGCTCTTAATTCAAAAATTTTAAAATATCATAAAATTTTTTTACTATATTTAATACTTTTCAATGGCAAAAGAAATAATTTTCCAATTTATTTTTATTACCACCTTAGTTGCAGGTCAGAAATACTTAAGCATATGTGTAGTAAAGCACAGGCATTTATTTATAGATGGCTTTCTATGTATATCACAGTTTTTGTGATGGCCTTTGGTATTTAATACGATTTTATTTTGCTCATTGTTGTTCCATTTTTGGTGCTACCTAAGATTGAAGGGTACCATGTCTTCCCTTTGGTACCAGTGCCTGTCTGGAGAGGCAAATTGGTCCCTGACAGTCATCTTTCCCCACTTGCTGTGGTAACTATGGAAACAGGCATGTCATAACAGTTCCTGTGGTACAGTGTGCAGAGCTGCTGTTCTTGGAGGATGATGACACATCTTCTGAAAGTAATAAATTTAACGGAATCCAAAACAACAAAGGCACATGATGTGCATATACATGTGCATATGCCCACAGATACATCCTAAGAATCCTTAATAAGTAACTGAGTATTAAAATGGAATGAAATTATTCTTTTCTTAGTTTTTTATTTGGGTGTGAAAACAACACCATTTTTAAGAAACAGAATTTTTTCCCCATGAAAACTGATAGACACCACTGGAGCTGGTTTGGACGTCTGAACCAAATATTCAATTTGAACTATTGACTTTTATAAAGGCTAAAGAGGGTTTAGGTATATATTTATTTGATGAATGACAAGACGGTTAAATTTAAAAATTAAAATATGCCCTAATGCCAATAAGTTATTACAAAAAATATATTCCCATTTTATTGTAACTAAAATATAGTTAATGAAATTCATAGCTTTAAGGTTATACACTATACTGTTTGCTAAAGGGCCCGGTCTGTACATCAGACTCAGAAACTTTAGATGATTTCAAGAAGCCACAAAAATGCATCAACCAGGCAGCACTCTAAAAAATATTCCTGAGTAAAAATAATGTTCTGACATAGAAATAAATCTTACTTTTCATCTTTTTTAGCACTATATTTTCAAATGAACTGAACTTATTAGAGACAATGTATAGAAATAGGCCTTAAAGAACAGAATATCAAATACTACCTTATAATTAACTACTTAATGACAATATTAAGACCAAGAATGAGAAGTGACAAGTTATTTAAGTGGGGCAGGTATGGAGCACATCAGAAAGAAATTGAGCTTCAACATGAGGAATGTATTTACATTTTTAAAAATGATTGTAGTTGCAAAAACACAGGCTGGGTTATAGATCTCCTGTGGTGTTTGGGACACTTAGTGTGACTATTTTTTAGTCACAAATATTGTATTAAATACCAAAACAAGTATCTCTCATTAAGTTACCGGTAATATATATGATGTACATATGCCCTGGGATACCTCAGTGCTTCATTTCATTCAAGTAAGGCAAAAAGAAAAAGAAAACAAAGTGTAAGTAGTGTAGCTTATTTGTAAAGATAATTGAAATAAAGCTATTCACAAATTCTGTCAGTTTCATTTGTTTTTTAAGTTATTTACAAATAGCTAAGAAATATATGATAAAAATGAAATTTGAATGTTGATTTTACTTAGAATACCAGTATCAAAGTATTTTAGATATTCTCATAGGAATAAATTTATTGGACAGCTGACAAAAAACACTTCTCAAATCCTATCATGCCACACAGTATGCCCTGTTCTTACATTGCATAGCAAAAAAACTAAGTGTCCCAAATGCAATCAGTATAACCTGGTTTCTTGTACCCTCCATGATTCCCCAACACTAAAAAAAAAAATAAAAAACTGAGTGTCCCAAACTCCACAGGAGATCTGTAATCCAGCCTGTGTTTTTGCAATAACAATCATTTTTTAAAATGTAAATACATTCCTCATGTTGAAGCTCAATTACTTTCTGATGTGCTACATACCTGCCCCCCTTAAATAACCTGTCACTTAATCATTTTTGGTCTTAATAGTGTCATTCTTTGTGAATGCATATATCAGTGTATCTATCACGGTCACTAAACTTCTTTAGTTCTGATTCTGTGCCTAACGGCATTTGTTTTATCAACTTTCAGCAGGCACTTTTTGACACAGTACTAGGTAATGGTGACTATGGGTTAAAATACCACTGATCTTTAATTTCTGAAATATTGACAGAGGAATCAATATTATTCTGCTTCCCTTTTACCTTCACGTTTCATTCAAATACCTAGCAGTCTTTTTGTGAGTTTCTGTCTCCCCTGTGCTAGATTCCTCTTTCTGTTAGGAATCTAACTTAATTACCACACAGTAATTTTATAGATGGTAAAATGAGCCTTAAATTCTTGTCATTTTACTTAAGTTCTGATGTTTTAAGTAATAAAAAGGAATAAATTATTTCACAAATATCTCACATTAAATTACCAGTAATGTATTTATTATACATGTAACATATGCCATGCCCTGGGACACATCAGTGCTTCACTTCATTAAAGTAAGGCAGAAATAAAAAGAAAACAATTTATATGGACCATCAAGGATCCTAACATAGGGTGTCTTAGGTGGCCATCTATCATAACCTTAATACAATCAGGCAAAAAAAAAAAAAAAAAAAAAATTAGCTGCCTTAATAGCATCATCATGTTTCAGGTCCTCGGAATCGGGAACTGTTTTTCTAATGTGCTTAGCCTAAATTCCTTTTTCTGTAATCTCATACTTAATAGTCTTATCCACACCATTATGTCCCTTCATATATTCGAAGAATTACATGGAAGCATAGAACAGTGTTCTCTTCTATCCTTTTAATTTTAGAGATAAGAAAACAAAGGCCTAAGTAATGTACGTATCTTACCCAGAATCATATATCTACTTAGTTACATAGTATATAGATTATAAGTCTCCATCTTGTTCATCTTACTAGCTACATTAAAGTTTTAATGTTTTATTCATTTTCCCGACATTCTATTGTCAATAAGTTCTGTTTGAAAAGAAATACACAAATTCCACTTTAAATTGTAACATCAGGGAAATACATATGTGTTCAACAGTAACTACTTGGTTAAAATATTTCATTATTGGATTTTATAGCAATATTGAGTGATGCATTTTAGGATCTCGTTTAATCAGAAATCACATCTGAAGTGGCACGTATCCCAAATCATGGCTGTAAGAGACAATACTGTATTTTTCCCATCAAAACTATAATAATGATTTTTCAATTATTTGCATGTGCCAGTTTCCTTAATGCCTTCCTCTTGCACAGAAATTTTGCTTGATCGCTTAAGGAAAGCATTTATAAAAATTGTATTCATTTAGGATAACACAAACAATAGAATTTGTTATAAACATATATCCTGGTAAACACTTACTGGTAGTCATCCTAGGGTTTCTTTAATAGTTTTTAAATGTTTGTTTCCCAAGAAATATCAGTCACTGTTATTATGACCTTAATGTCAGCAGGCTCCAGGTCTAAATTTTATGAAAAATCTTGAACTTGAATTATTGAATTTAATAATTCAATAAATAATTACATTTAACAATTCAGTAATTCAATAGCTTATTGAACAGTTGAAGTTTAATAATTCAATAATTCAGCAGTTTCAAGAAGAAAGAACTAGAGGCAAGTGTAAAATGTAAGACCAAAAAAATTATACATCTATAAACTTTTTCCAAAAAGATTAGGTACTAGGTATGATAAAATAAAATGAGAAATATTGAGCAATTCATAGTTTGTTGAAAGATTTTCAGAATTTTCCAATACTGAGAATGAGTTTGCAAGCATTCTAGTTTAGATTTTCTCTATTATTACCCGTGATATGTTATATATTGTTTTAACTGCCTCAAACATAATTCTTAGAATAGTTACTGTTAAAATTTAGACATAATTTAAAGTTTGTGGCTTGTGATACTCTTCAGATTGTCCAAAAGTAAAAAAAAAAAAAGTTCTTTTAATTTTTATATTCTTGTAATCTAAAAGATTTCCTTTATATTGTCTTATTACTAATAGTACATAATGTTTTTTACCTTATCTTTTGACATTATCTGCCTAATGTGACATGTATGAGTAAAAATAAGAACTGGCAGATAAAAGAGGTGTCCTGTTGATTAACAAAACTTTCTATGTTTACCTTCCTCCAACTTTCCTTTAGAAAAAACAGAAAAACATTTTAAGAATAGGAATTCAGAGTCTTGGCTCACCTTTGTGGGGAGATGACATTTTCTGTACAGAAAACTGTGACAACAGTCACAGCCTCACCAAGTTCCTCTATATTCTCCGTGGTCTTCTGAGAACCTCTCTTTCAGTCTGTATCATCACAATGCCAACCCATCTGACTCAGGTAAGAGCTTTCCGAAACTACTTCGCCTTAACTAGTGGTGAGATGTTAGCACATGTGGTTTTAATTGGCTTTTCCATGATAACTTTTTATTGGCCATTTGCAACTTTTCTTTTCCATTTTTTGTTGGTAATTTCATAATCAATTTTTTAAATGCCTTGATATTTTAGCCACAATTCTGCAATTATTTTCTTCCAATCTGTGACTTGCCTTTTTTCTTTTCTTATCATGTCTTTTGAAGTAAAGTTTTTAATGTTGATGGAGTTTAACTTTTACCAATTTTTTAAGTGGTTGATGGTTTCTCTCCCTCACCTCCCCAATTTTGCCAGTCTTTGCCCTCTCCGGAGTCTTTGTCCTTTGTTTTCTCCTAAATGTCTTATAGTTTTTATCTTTTACTAATTAACGTATTCTTATTTCATACAACTTTAGTTAATCTTTTTTTATTGTTAGCACTGTTTACTAAAATACTTACTTTAATCTTCTCAAACAGCTTTTGCTTTCTTTAATATTCAATTTGTATATTATATAATTTGTATGTTAATATATTTTACATTTACTAGCTTTCTTTTTATTGTTAGCACTGTTTACTAAAATACTTACTGTCTGCCTGAAGCATGTGGTTTTATATAATCTTATGTGTAATATCTTATATATCATAGACTCCATAAAGGCAAAGCGAGGTATTTATTCTTTTCTTTATATGGCTTTATGGTAATAATATATATTGAATGTGATTATGAATTCTTAGCACACTACCCAGGTTTTTTCTAGATATTCAATAAATGTTAATTTAATGAATATGGATTCTTACTTGAAAAATTATTCCTAATACCTAATCGTTGAAACTGCTTGAAACTTTATTATACTAGTTATGTTAATTATATATAGCATATATGGCAAATTTTGATACCATGACTAAAAAGTCTGGCATAAATAAAACTCCTTGGCCAGCAGAATTTGGACTCCTTGACCAGCAGAATTTATTTATTTGTAATAGTTATGGGAGGATAACTTAGTTTTCTTTTAAGGGCTTTTTACCAATTTTGTCTGGACCTAAATTAACCTTATGAGCTTAAAATTGTATAACTAGCATAAGGAAACTTCTTTCTCTAATTATCTTAGACATTGTACATATACTTATATCATTTTCACTGTTGACGTTATTACGAGCTTAATACTTTAATGAAAGCTTGTTTGTATATAGTGAGCTTTTTGATTTTAAGAATAAATACTCCTAAAACAGACTTATCAGATATTGATGAAAATACTGCTATTTGTATAATCACTACATTGTGCTACTACTGCAGCTAGTTAATAGGCATTGTTACTGCATGCCAAGTACTATAAAGCATCATGTCCTTAAATCTTCACATTTTAGGAAATAAGTAACTTTTACCTCTGTTTTTGTAGTCACCCAATTAGTAAATGGCAAGGCTAAACAAAGGTCTTTCTCTGGCTTCAAACTCGACCTTCTTCAGTGTTAGATGATATAGCTACCCTAATCATCACAGAAACCCTACAAGATAGCTGTGATGTTACCTGCAAAGACAGTAAAGCTAACAATGCCACATGCCACATATCTAGTCTACATTCAAAGCAGGTATTCAAACTCAGATCTTTTTAACTATAAAACATAAACTCTTTCCCCTCTGTCATACTTTATCCCTCTGTATCTAGAATTATTAACTAACTTTGATGTCACTGACTTTCCATTACAAAAAAAAAAAATTCTTGGGCAACATGGTTATTATTCAACAGTTTTAAATAGAAAATTATTACAAAATATTTGATAAATTAGTACACATAAAGATGAAACAAAAGGTTTCATTCCAGACAAGGGAGAAAAACAATGAAAACATGTTTTCTTTCACATAATTATAAAGCAAAGACAAACAATTATGCCATATATATATATATGTGCCATTTTAAAAATTTATCCCTAAGGAACATATGCAAAAAAATAAAGAACGAAAGGAGAGGAAAATACTTTTTAAAAGCCATTTTGTTGGTGATCATCTTATTATTTACAGAAATGATTCCTACCCCATTGTGAATGTCTGTGACAGTGATTCCTCTAGTCTCTTTTTAAGGGAATAGCAGTGATACTAACAGGTGACCTCAAGTTAGCCTGTCTGTACCGCTTAAATAAAGACTGAATAATGAGGTAAGCTAAACTTAGTCTGAACATGAAGCAACATCATTTTAATTTTGATACTTAACAAATAGGCATAAGGCCTTGTACAACTAGAAGAGATACTTTCTAACATAGCAGTAAAGAGACTACCTTGAAATGTAAATAGCAAAATATAGGGTCAGATTTGGTGATAATTATAGAGTTACACAGTGTGACCAAGAATTAAGACATGATCCTCAAAACAGAGAATGTCTTTTGAAATAGTGTATACCCTTCTAAAATTTTTCATTCTCTCTTCCATAGATACTTATGCAAAGCTATCATATAGTCTTTTGGTCCTAATAATAATTAAGCTATAAAAAAAATAAGTTACACCCTTGACATTTAAACAAGATGTCTGACTATATATTTGTTTTTATATCAAAATATTTAGGAAAACATGTCAAGGTAAATAGTTTGCTCCAACCATTCATGCAAACTTTTACTAACTCCAACCAGTCATGAAAACTTTTACTAACTCCAACCAGTCATGCAAACTTTTTTAATGACTGGAAAGGAAAGTCACAATTTTAGGCTAAGGAAAGACAATAAGAATTAGAAGCTGTATGTTTAAAAAACTAATCAAAAGGATCTATGAATTTATTTAATAACATTCCATAGTGATTACTGTAGTTTGTTGCAGTCCTAAACTCTTTTCAAATATTAACTTATTTAAGGCTCACAGTAACCCTGTATAACTGGTACTGTCATTATCTTTTTCCAAGATCACAGAATTACTCAGTGGCAGAATTTAGACCTACGTAATCTCTCTCTAATTACCACTGTGCAGTAGTGCTTTTTCTATAAAGGTACTAAACTAGAATCAAAATTTAGAAGCAATGTGTACAAAGTAGCATGCTATGATAGAAAGAACCTAGGTTTTAGGACAAATAGACCTGATTAGTTATAAATTCTTAGTCAAGTCTTAACTTTCTCAATATCAACTTCACCTATAAAAATAGAGCGGAAAATACCCACATCAGAAGATCAGCAGTAACATCTGCTGGCACATAGTAGACGTTCAATATATGTTAGCAGATGGCATCTTCACTATTATTACTGAGAATTTGAACAGAGGTGAAGCTACAAAAAATAAGGTATGCAAGTCTATAAAAATAATAGACATCTTTAAGTTTCTGCTGCTTCTTACGAAAGACACTGACAGAATCTTCTCAGAGGTTAGACTTTAGACAGACAAAGGAGCATAAATAAAGTTAGATAGCCATCCAGATCTTAGTAGTATCACCATGTTGTAACAAGACTGACCATCACATGTCGATTGCTTTCCACTATGACTGGTGCTGTCTCTAGGGACTGTAAGTCAGGGTTTAAGTGGTGATTGCATGGCTAAGGGTAATTCAGTTATTCACTCATTCAACAAATAATGCAGGCAGTGTTCTGGGCACCCACAGAGACACAGTAGCCAACAAGACAAGGTTCCTATTCCCATGAACCTTTTTCAGCAGTGTAAGAGATGGGGTGGAACAAAAAAGTAGTATATGTGGGTATGTGGATACTTGAGCTTGGGAATTGATAGTAAAGTGGTATCTGGCAGGAAATAGATGATATCCTCGGAAATTTTGTCATATAATTAAATATCTATAGCTAATAAAATTGTGATACCTTTATTTGAATGTATTATATAAAATAACACTAGATTAAAAGTACTGTGTGTAAAATATCTTCATCTCTTAAATTAGTAAACCAGCGAATTGGTGTTCTTACTTTAGTTATTAGCATTCTGTCAGACTTGTACAGTAATGATTAGTTACCCTTTATTGTACTTTTGGCATGCTTCCCATGTTTAATTTTATCATAGGAAAGGAACACATAGTTAAGAAAATTACAAAGTGGGGGAAAAGTTAAAATAGGGAAAATAATGACATAGATTCAAAACTGATTCTAACTTGTTGTTATAATAAGACTTTTGCAAGTACAGCGAATGATAATTATATTTAAATTTGCATTTGAAATATTTTATGTTCAGCCTCATAACTTTAACTTTGAACTTGAAATCTTTTATTACCTTTAGGTTAATGAAAGTTTATTTCCATAATACCACAAGAAAAAATTGACAGGCATACTTTGAAACAAATGTATAAAAATAAATTCTAAATATTTTTAAAATACTCAAATTGTTCACCAAATATATTACAAATGTCTTAAACGTAAATGTAATATAGTCTTAAACAATTTTCCTTGTGATGTAGTAGTTATTACTCATGTTGTCTCTTGGTAGAATGTAGTTTTAGTATCTACCCAAAGACATTGTACTAAAAACGTATGTGAAAATGTCTAAGTTAAATACAGACTTTGTTACATGCTGAACTATGGAGTGAAGTGTCATTAGAAGGAGCAGAACTATGGACGGCTCCCCTATATTCGAGCATTACTCAGTTCCCAGATCCCTGCTGTGTAGTTGTTCCACTCGCCAAGAAGCCTGTTAAAGAGCCCCCAAGAGCATGTGTACAGCCCTCCATGTTAATAGTTAATTGGTGAGGATGGCAAGATGAGAGGACAGCCGAACATGTGGTCTCTCAGACTCAAGCAGTAGACAGACCTTTAGTTATAATAACAGCAGCTGCTCACATTCTCACAACTCAACTGTTCAAAACTCTGTTGTCAAGTAAAGGTTGTGGATTGGGAAAAAAAAAAAAAAAGAGTAAAGTTACGTTTAAGAAAAATAACTAAAACTCTATTTTTAAACTCTTTCTACATATTAATTATAAGAATATTATTTCAGCTTCTAAAAACTGAAATATAAAGTTCAGTATTAAAAGTTGTTATATTTCAAATACACAGAGCATTCTACTCTTTTTTCCCATTTACG